GAAAGAAAGAAAGAAAGAAAGAAAGAAAGAAAGAAAGAAAGAAAGAAAGAAAGAAAGAAAGAAAGAAAGAAAGAAAGAAAGAAAGAAAAATCACACCAAAAAAAGAGCCTGACAGCCTCGTTTCTCAGAGATACAGCTTCCAGAAACTGTCCATCTGCTAGAGACATTTTACTGTATTTTCCTCTTGTCCACTTCTTTATTTGCACAGTGTGTTGTTGTAAATTATCAGTCATTCAAGACACAGCAGTTTCCAAATGTAGGAGTGTCTAACTGGGTTGTGAAGAACTGCAGCATTTGCAAGGGACTAGGACTGCAACTAATCGATTAATCAGTTGATTTTTTTTTTTCGATTAATCGATTAATCGGCCAAATCATTAAAACCTTTAATTACATGAATATGAGTAGATATTAAGTTAACTCCTTAAGGATGCAAGTTATTGATAATGAATTAATCTGAAGATGATTTATCTTATAGATTGATTAACATTGATTAATAACCAGCCATTTAAAAAAAAACGAGTTTTCTATTGAATCAAGAGGGTCTTCCCATAAAATGAAGGATTTTTCAATAAACTCCTGAATTAAAAAAAAAACAGAAGCACATAATACATATTTTAACAATTTGAAACTCAGACTGAAGAAGTCTCTTGGAGGAGAGACGAAACGTTTCACTAAAGAAGAACCCATCCAGAGGACCTACTAATTTTTTTCTTTTTGATTTTCTCTACCTGGATCACTGAGATGCATCAGGAAATTCTAAAGCACTAAAATAACCCAGTCAAACCATGAACATTCTTCAACAGACAGTTTGAGTCACATATTGTCATGTTGATCTCTAGACTTATCATTGACATTCCACAGGGTTCATATTGTCAATATGTCACCTGGTGGATAAGTGACACACATATAAACAAAATGTGTGACAGCTTTCACCCTCAGCTGTTAACATTAAAGTTGATCAATAACATTTATAAACCTCAGTTAGTGCTTCAAAAAATTAGCCTATACAGCAGGTAAAATAAGTATTGAACACGTCACCATTTTTCTCAGTAAATATATTACTAGAGGTGCTAATGACATGAAATTTTCACCAGATG